ACTCTGACACCAGCCATCCCTCCCACGGCACTCACTACTTCCCTGCTGGGTTTGATAATTGGTTGCAATGGCCACACACAACTCAACAGATAATACTCACTGTTATGGGTTTATTAGGGAAGTAACAGGCTACAGTTCAGGTTCAGGAATGCACTCGGGATACAGTTCTTCTATCAGGGCAGTCTCTCCTCTGCCCCCAAACACACCTCTTGTGCCTTTGGCCTCTCAGCCCGGCCTCTGCCTCTGTGGGCCAGATAAGCCTGTCACTCTATCTCATGCCTCTTGCTCCACTGTCACCTGTCTCTGTGCCAGCATGTCTCTCAGCCAAGGAGGTCCAGCGCAGGGACCTGGGGCCCAAGGACGTGCTCCACTTCACCTCCAGCTCTTCTCTCTTGATGGCAGGGAAATCCACCCTCTGCCTCTGTTGTTGTTGTTATGTGCTGTCGAGTCAGACCTGACTCATAGTGACCCCTCCTTGGGTTTCCGAGGCAGTATCACTACAGAAGTAGATTGCCCCATCTTCCTTCCGAGGAGTGGCTGGTGGGTTTGAACCACCAGCCTTCTGGTTAGCAGTCTAGTGCCTTGGACACTAAGCTACCAGAGTCTAGGAGGGCTTATTTTAAGCCTGGCAGAGGACAAAATTAACCAGTCCCAACATCAGAGTTCCACACACCTTATTTGCATAGTGCCACCCAGTAATCCAGTGGCAGTTACAATGACTCTGGCTAGAATTACCAAGTAATTCACTGCACTGCCGTAGCATAGAGAGTTCCTGTATACCTCCCACCCAGTTTTCCCTTTTAACATCTAATATGATACCTTTGGGATAATTAATGTTATTAACTAAGGCCATAATTCAGATATCCTTAGTTTTTATCTAATGTCTTCTATTCCAGGTTCCATCTAGTATGCCACATTACATTTAGTAGTCATATCTCTTTAGATACCTCTCAACTGTAACTGTTTTGAGTTGCATTTTTACCCAAAAAGAACTGTTCTGTTTGGCATTAAAGTGTACTCAACCAGGAAAACCAAACTCCCCGCCACTGAGTCAATTCCGACTCATAGCAACCCCTCCTTGGGTTTCCAAAGTGGTGTCTTTACAGAAGTAGATTGCCCAGTCTTCCTTCCGAGGAGTGACTGGTAGGTTTGAACCACTAGCCTTCTGGTTAGCAGTCAAATGCCTTAGGCACTATGCCACCAGAGCTCCTTAAAGTTTACTAGAGAGTGGTATAGTAATTGTATTATATAGAGACTCCACGGAGGGTGGATTTGTGTCGTGTATTACTGCCTGGCCATTGCATAGCACAGTGCCTGCCATGTAATAAGTTTCTGAGTGGCTCATTATTAGATTGCTGAGTGCTTCAAAAATGAATGGATAGATAATTCTCTTTTAATACTACATGTAAGTTAAGTGATATTAAAGTGGTGATTAATCTTAATGCCACAGTTTCCTATGATCCTGAGATCATTATTTATTTTTCTTATTTTCCCTGCTTTTACCAAAGAAATATTCAGCAGATCACTATACACCTTTCCCCTCTGACCTGGCTTTCCTCTCAGAGCAAGTGGCCGCTGCCTGTGGATTTCAGGGTTTCCAAGCCGAAGCAGGTATCCTGAATTACTACCGCTTAGATTCCACACTGGGAATCCACGTAGACAAATCTGAACTAGATCACTCCAAACCCCTCCTGTCATTCAGGTAAGTTAGTCCCAAAGATTTTGGAATCATGTTTTTAAAATTTCCTTTTTTTTTTCTTTCCTAAAGCATATTTAAACTAAATCAACTGAGCAGTCAATTAAATGATTAATTGATTAAACGATCGAAAAAGGGCATTCACATCTAGATGCAACGATGGGTCTCTCCTCGTCTAGAGCAAAGAAGAATGAAGAAAACCAAAATTCATGGAAACAATTAGTCCTAGTGACTGGTACACCATCCGATCTGCAACCTATATGACTGTGAGACCAGAAGAACTAGATGGTGCCTGGCTACCACTGTCATCCACTTGGAAGGGGATCTGTGTAGGAGATCCTTGATAGAGTGGGAGAATAATGTGGAACAAAACTCAAAATCATTTGGAGGGAAAAAAAAAAGGGGGAGAACCAGGTTTGCTGGTCCGATAGAGCCTGGTGGAACCACTGGAACTATGGCCCCTAGCTGCCCTCCAGGTCTGGAATTGAACCCACACCTGTGGTTTCCAGCCAAACAAAAGACAGGCATATGAGTTGAACATTTACCTGAGATAGATACACTCCTTGGAGAGAACAGTCATTGAGAAGGAAGGGCTGCCTATGCACAGGGAGACAGCTCAGGGGGCAGGAGTCCATGGAGGCATGAACACTGGGAATAGGTAACTATGGGGAGGAAGTGGGAGGGGAGCTGTTGCATTGTGGTAAACTGTGGTCAATGTCATGAGACAAAGTATATGTAAACTGCTGTATGGAAAGTGAATTTGCTCTGTAAATCTTCACCCAAATCACAATTTAAAAAAGAAAAAAAAAAAGGGCATTCCATTTTTAAAAATGATTGGACCTACAATCTTTCACTTCTGGACCCTTTAATGCTGTAACATAAATAAAATTAGCCTCTCATCCTTTAAGAGCTAGATTCTAGTTAATATTTCTGCTTAAGATTTATAGAGCCTGCCTTTTGTAATAAGAGGGATTATCAGTGCCCTATGGAATAGACATGTGGAAGACATACAGCAGTGTGACCAACCTTTTTTGGAAGAGAGAAAAATAAACACAAAAGCCTGCATAGCTTACTATCCATGACTCCCTGCACATCGTTTTAGATTTGTTTAAAGTACTGCACCTGTATCCCATCATGAAAGTACCTATGTAGAATCTTCTGTTAATGTCTTCATCTTTAAAGTGAAAAAGAATGATAATCATAGTAAAGTACTCAAATCATTCTGTTGGAAGACTTTAACTCTTAAAGATGCATCAATAAAATGTATATGGATCCTATTAATATTCAATTTTTAGTTTGCTTATTTGACTACTTTAAAATACATAGATTTTATTTTTAAGCAATCCTGTAGGCTGTTACGAGTATAGGTAGCAGACCACTGGTTGCTCACTCAGACATGAACCAAAAGAGAAGGATCTTAGCACAGTTTATAAAGGAAGATTTGAGAGAAGTATTGAACTGGAGTTAGGAAATAATGCTGTTGATGTGATTTTCCCAGCCTTTTTGTTAAAAAACAAAACTTAATCTTGCCCTTTTTTTTCTCTCCCCGCCCCCCTCAATTATTTTTGTAGTTTTGGACAGTCTGCCATCTTTCTCCTGGGTGGCCTCAAAAGAGATGAAGCCCCTACAGCCATGTTTATGCACAGTGGTGACATCATGGTAATGTCAGGTTTCAGCCGCCTGTTGAACCATGCAGTCCCTCGGGTTCTTCCAAATCCTAAGGGAGAAAGCCTGCCTCACTGCCTGGAGACACCTCTCCCAGCTGTCCTCCCCAGAGATGGAGTGGTAGAGCCCTGTTCTGTGGAGGACTGGCAAGTGTGTGCCAACTACCTGAAGACTGCTCGTGTTAACATGACTGTCCGACAGGTACTGGCCACAGACCAGGACTTCCCCCTGGAACCTGTGGAGAAGGAAAAAAGAGACATCACCATGGAAGGTTTCTGCTGTCTGGATGACAAAAATACCCAAGTAAAACGGGCCAGATTAAACCCTGACAGCTGAGGCTTAGAGATCTCGTTCTTTGATTTAGGTCGATCTTACAGTAAATAACCATGCTGTTTTGTATTGTGATGCACCTCAGCACCAAGACAAGCCAAAAATAGGGAAAAACTCTCATTGATCACTATTGCCTTGGAACACATCCTGAAGAATAAATTTATTCACCATTTTGCCCAGAGAAGTATTTGACGTGGTCTCCATGGTCCAGTCCAGTTAAGTGTAGACACTAAAGTATGTGGAAAAGTCTAAGGAGTTGTGACCTTCCACGACAGTCTTCAGTACCTATCCCACCTCTGAGAGAGGTGAATTTCCTTGGCTGTGGAGTCTAAATACCTCAGATTTACATATGTATTGATGGAAACATAGTGTTGTCCTCCCCTTTTGCATCTGATGACTTGTAAATTGTGATTCCATGAAACAGTCATTCACATTCTCAACTCATCAAATCATTTCTGACCCTCATAGAAGAGTCCTTTATACATTGAAACAATGGAATTGGAAATCTCATCCCTAGAACAGAGGTAAATCACAGCCGTCTTTTTACCTAAAAGGTAAAGGTATGTAATCTAAGGCAAAAAAAAATCTAGTTTCTCCTCAAATATTAGGTCTCTAAACTCTCCCTGTTATCTTCTTAATGCAATTTTAATTGTTGCACTAAAAAATTTCCAAGGGTGTTCTGTTTTCTCCATGAATAAAAATGTACTGGATTTTAAATTAAAGATCTCCATCTATCTTTGTGGGTTACTATATGTGAGGTATGAGGGACCTGGTGGCCTGTGGTTAAAGCACTCAGCTGCAAACCTAAAGGTCTGCGGTTTAAAGGCACCAGCAGCTCCACAGGAGAAAGATGGGACAGTCTGCTTCTGTAAAGATTTACACCCTTGGAAACCCTGGGGCAATTCTACTCTGTCTGTAGAGTTACTGTGAATCAGAATCGAACAGATGATAATGGGTTTAGTTTGAATATATCTGGGATTAGTTTTCTTTTCCTATTTTTATTTGCTGTCTTACTCATGTTGCTAAAACTCCCACTGTTTCCACCCTGCGCGTTCCTGCTCTGCCCGTGTATTCTTTGTAGCTGTCTCGCAGGAGAGAGTGCCCCGTACTGCTCTAGTCACTGCTCCAGTCACTGCTGGCTTTTCCAATGTTGTTGTTGTTGTTATTTGCCATCGAGTCAGCCCCAACTCATAGCGACCCCTCCTTGGGTTTCCGAGGCAGTATCACTACGGAAGTAGGAATGCCCAACCTTCCTTCCGAGGAATGGCTGGTGGGTTTGAACCTCCAGCCTTCTGGTTAGCAGTCAAGTGCCTTAGCCACTATGCTACCAGAGCTCCTGGCTTTTCCAATAGTAGTTGTTATTGTTGTCGTCAGGTGCCATTGCGGTGACTCCGACTCAGAGTAGACCCCTTGGGAAACGCCAACTATTAATCTTTGTACTCCTAGCAACTCAGGCTATGGTCCCCTGAGCCAAGTTACTTTATATTGCTGTGGACATTGGTGTTCTTGTTCATAAAATGAGGATAATATTTACTGCCATCTTCCTAGAAGGGTGGTGGTATTTAAAATGGTCATGGAAGTTCAGTGTTACCACCTAATGATGTGGCGATACTGTTTTATTGCCACGTGGGCTCTTAGAAACATCCTAGCTTGCTTGTTTGCATAGAGAACTGGCTGGAAATCTTATGATACCTGCTAGTAGTGGCATGTCTTGCTGAGTTTGCATATCTCCTCCTATGCCCTGCCTTTTTTTCTTACCAGCACTGAATATCGAGTTCATAAGTTAATCTTCAGTAGATTTTGTTTTGTTTTTTAAATAAAAGCTAATATAGAGTCATCCCTATTGTGTAAGGTAGGCTCTGAAGTTAGTATACAGGAAGGTTTTCGATAATTAAAATTACTGTTGGAAAATCCCTTAGATTTTCCAGAAAGTATACTACATGTGACCCATTAGAAATAAACATAACAATAGAGTCGGTTTATCCTTCAACTTAAGAACAAATTGCTGTTCATTGCAATTCAGGTAAGAAGGATATAGACTTGTCTTTAAGGGCCATTTTGTACCAAAAAATACATATTTAAACTATAGACTCCCACTCCGTGAAGCAAGATGCTTTTGCTACAGGAGGCATATGGAACCGGTCCACCATCCCAGGCTCACTCTAGGGTTTGTGCTCATTGAGTTCAGTGGTGAGCAGATTTGTTCACACAATTTAATTCTCTTATGTATGTTTCTGCTAAGCACGTACAGTTGAAGATGTATATGATGCAGCTATACTTGTCTGAGGGAGCTCTGGTAGCATAGTGCCTAAGGCACTTGACTGCTAACCAGAA